TATTCATGAGAATTTTTTAGTTTTCTTCATGAAGATCTTGTATATATTTTGTTAGGTTTATACTTAAGTATTTCATTTTGGGGGGTGCTAATATGAATGGTATTATGTTTTTTCATTTCAAATTCCATTATAGATTGCTGGTATATAGGAAAGAAACTAACTTTTTATATATTAACCTTGTATCCTTTAACCTTGCTATAATTGCTTGTTACTTCCAAGAGATTTTTTTGTTGATTCTTACAGATTTTCTACATAGATGATCATGTCATCTGTGAATAAAGATGTATTTCCCAATATGTGTAACTTTTATTTCCTTTTCTTGCCGTATTGCATTAGCAAGGACTTCCAGTTCAATGTTGAAAAAGAGTAGTGAGGGGGACATTTTTGCCTGGTACCTGATTTTAGTGGGAAACCTTCAAGTTTCTCAGTATTAAGTATAATGTTAGCTGTAAGTTTTTTGCAGATTTTATCAAGTTGAGAAAGTTTCCTTCTATTCCTACTTTACTGAGAATTTTTATTATGAATGGGTGTTGGATTTTGTTAAATGCTTTTTCTGCATCCATTGATATGATCATGCAATTTTTCATTTTTAGTCTGTTGATGTGCTAGATTACATTAATTGATTTTGAATGTTAAACCAGCTTTGCATACCTGGAATAAATCCCACTTGGCTGTGGTATACAATTCTTTTTATACTTTTTTGGGTTCTATTTACTAATGTTTTGTTGAGGATTTTTACGCCTATGTTCATGAGATATATTGGCCTATAGTTTTCTTTTCTTATAATGCCTTTGTCTGGTTTTGGTATTAGCGTAATGCTGACCTCATAGAATGAGTGAGGAAGCATTCCCTCTTTTTATATCCTCTGAAAGAGATGGTAGAAAATTGGCTAAATTTCTTCCTAACCTATTTGATAGAATCTACCAGGGAACCCATCTGGGCCTGGTGCTTTCTCTTTTAGAAAGTTATTAATATTATTTATTTATTTAATGGATATAGGCCTATTCAGACCATCTATTTCCTCTTGCATCTTTCAAGGAATTCATTCATTTCATCTAGGTTATTAAATTTATGAGATAGAGTTGTTCATAATATTCCTTTACTATCCTTTTAACTTCCATAGAGTCTACGGTGTTGTTCTTCTCTCATTTGGATGTTAGTAATTTGTGTCCTCTCCTTTTTTCTTAGTTAGCCTGGCTAGAGGCTTATCAACTTTATTGATCTTTTCAAAGAACTAGCTTTTAGTTTCATTGATTTTCTCTATTGATTTTGTTTTCAATCTCTTTTGATTTCTGCTCTAATTCTTATTATTTCTTTTCTTCTACTTTTTATTTTTCTCTGCCTTTTCTAGCTTCCTAAGGTAGAAACTTAGGTGATTGATTTTAGATCTCTCTCCTTTTCTAATATATGTATTCAATGCTATAAATTTTCCTCTAAGCATTGTATCTCACAAATTTTGATAAGTTGTATTTTCATTTTCATTTAGTTCAAAATATATTAAAATTTGTCTTTAGATTTTTTTCCTTTGGTCATGTTATTTAGAAGTATGTTGTTTAATGTCCATGTATTTTATGGTTTTCCAGTTATCTTTTGTTATCGATGTCTAGTTTAATTCCCAAAATTGTGAGCTGAGAGCAGACATTGTAGTATTCTATTCTTTTGAATTTATTAAGCGGTATTTTGTGGCCTGAAATGTGGTCTCTCTTGGTGAATGATCCATATGACTTTGAGAAAAATGTATATTCTATCTTATTGGATGAAATAGTCTATAGATGGCAATTATATTCAGCTGACTGATGGTGTGGCTGAGTTTAACTGTATTCTTCCTGATTTCCTGCCTTACCAGATCTGCCTGTTTCTGAGAAAAGGATATCGGCATCTCCAACTATGGTAGTGGACTCATCTATGTCTTCTTTCTGTTTTATCAGTTTTTGCCTCATGCAGTTTCATGCTGTGCTGTTAGATGCATACACCTTAAGAATTGTTACATCTTCTTGGAGAGTTGACCCATTTCACATTATGTAATGCCCTTCTTTTTCCCTGATGACTTTCCTTACTTTGAAATCTGGTCTGTATGAAATTAACATAGCTAGGCCTGCTTTCTTTTGATTGGTGTTAGCATGGTGTATTTTTCTCTATCCATTTACTTTTCATCTGTGTGTGTCTTCATATTTAAAGTGGGTTTCTCGTAGACAATATATAATTGGTTCTTGGTTTTGATCCACTATAACAGTCTCTTTTTTATTTGTTGCATTTAGACCATTGACATTCAAAGTAACTACAGATATAGTTGAATTAATATCTGCTGTAATCATTAAGGTTTTCTACTTGTTGTCTTAGGTCTTTGTTCCTATTTTTGTCTTCCATTCCTTTTCTGGCTTTTATGCTTTTAATTGAGGATTTCATATAATTCCATTTTTTCTCCTTTCTTAGCAAATCCATTATACTTTTTACTTTTTTTAGTCATTGTCCTAGAGTTTGCAATATACGTTTACAACATCAATCCATGTCCATTTTCAAATAACACTATACCACATCATGGGTAATGTGAGTACCTTATAATAACAAAATCATCCTAATTCCTTGTACCTGCTATTCATTTCACTTATATATGAGGACAAATATATATGTATATGTCCATAATACATATATGTATACAAGTATACATAAATATACGTGTATATGTATGTGTAATACATATAATTGAACACATTATTGCTGTTGTTATTTTAAACAAACTGTTGTCTGTTAGATCAATTAGTAATAAGAAAATATAAGTTTTTATTTTACCTTCACTTTTTACTTCTTTGATACTCTCTTTTTTTCTTTATGTATATCTGAGTTTCTGATCTATGTTATTTTCCTTCTCTCCAAAAACTTCTTTGAAAATTTCTTGCAAGGCAGGTCTACTGGCAACAAATTCCCTGGATTTTTGTTTATTTGAGAAAGTCTTTATTTCTCCTTAGCCTTTTGAAGCATAATTTTGGAGGGTACAGTATTCTAGGTTGGTGGGTTTTTTCTCTCAACTTTTTTTTTTTAAAGATTTTTATTTATTTATTTAAAGGGAGGAAGAGTGCTCATGAGCAGGGGGAGGGGCAGAGGGAGAGGGAGAGGAGAATCTCCAGCAGACTATGTGCTGAGTGCAAAGGCTGATGCAGGGCTCAATCTCATGACCCCAAGATCATGACCTGAGCTGAAATCAAGAGTTGGAAACTCAACTGACTGAGCCACCCAGGCGCCCTCTCTCAACATTTTAAATATTTCATGCCATCTGTTCTTGCTTGCATGGTTTCTTAGGAGAAGTCAGATGTATTTCTTATCTTAGCTCCTCTGTAGGTAAGATTTTTTTTCCTCTGTCGTCTTTCACAATTATTCTATATCTTTGATTTTCTGTAATTTGAAAATGATGTGTCAAAATATGTGGTTTTTTTGATATTCATCCTGCTTGGTGTTTTCTGAACTTTCTGGATCTCTGGTTTGATATCTGACATTAAGTTTGGGAAATTCTCAGTCATTATTGTTTAAAATATTTCTTCTGTTCCTTTCTCCCTTTCTTCTCCTTCTGGCATTCTCATTATGTGTATATTACACCTTTTGTAGTCGTCCCACAGTGCTTGGCTATTCTGTTTTGGTTGTTTGCTGGTCTTTATTCTCTTTGCTTTTTGGTTTTGGTTTTTCTATTGAGATATCCTCAAACTCAGAGATTCTCTCCTCAAATGTGTCCAGTCTACTAATAAGCCCATCAAAGGTATTCTTCATTTCTGTTACAGTGTTTTCATCTCTAGCATTTCTTTTTGGTTCTTTCTTAGGATTCCCATCTCTCTGTTTACATTGCCTCTCAGTTCTTGCAGGCTATCTACTTTATTCATTATAGCCCTTAGCATATTAATCATAGTTACTTTAAATTTCCTACCTGAAAATTACAACATCCCTGCCATGTCTGCTTCTGAAGTTTGCTCTAGCTCTTCAAATTATGTTATTTTACCTTTTGATATGCTTTGTAATTTTTTCTTGATTGCCAGGCATGGTAAATTGGCCTTTGGTAATGTTGGGGGGAGGGGGTGGAGGGAAGCATTCTATGGTCTTATGATTGTGTCTCAGTCTTTTAGTGAGCCTATGCCTCTGGACTGTGAACTTCACGAGTGTTTCTCAGGTTTTTGCCCCCTTTGTGTGAAAGAGGATGGCTAACATGGGTGGAGTTGGGTATTTCCCTTCCCCAGGTCAGTTAGGCTCTGATAATAGTCTATCAGGTTAGCCAACAGCTAACAAGTTTCCCCCAAAGGCAGGCTTTGTTAGCAAGGACAGAGTTCTCTGGCTATTTCAAAATGGTTCCACTTCTCCTCCCTGTGCCAGTAACCCAGGAGGGTTTCTCTCTGGTACACACTATGGGAACCTGGTGGAGCTCCTGGAGATAAATCTCACAATCCTGTGGCATCCCCCTATGCCTGGCTCCCCTGGAGTTTTGAACTCAGAATAGTCTGCACCGCCTCTCCTTCAGGCAATTCACCAATTGCAGTTCAGATTTTCCTATCCTGGCACTGGTTTCTGCAATGGTTTGCTGCATGAGAGTCTCTGCTCCAGTACGCTTGTCTTTCCAAGCTTATTCCAATCTATATTTGCCTGACTTTCCAATCTTGAGGGCACTGGTTTGCCTGTGTCCTCTCCTCTCTTGCAGATCCAAGAAGACTTGTTGATTTTTCAGGCTGTTCGGTTTTTCACTTGTTGTTAACGATGGAATAGTGACTTCTAAGCTCCTTATATGTGGAACCAGAAGTCATAAGTACCATCCTTCTACACTTCACATTACAAATCAACCAGGAAGAATTCTCTTCCCCTCTTGGCTAGAGAGACTTGATGAGTCCTCAGGGACTTTGAGTTACCACATTCTCCACACCATCCTGAAGAGACACTGAAGCCAGCAACATCACTCTCAGCTCCAGGGAAAAGGCAGGGAGGGAGATGGACAGTTTGAGGGGGGTCATATACAAAGAGAAGATAGATTTCAAGTTTTCTTAATGACTTTAATTGGAGACTCAAACCCTGTAAACCATAGTTCAAGCCTAGTTCTGTGGGACAGTGCCTGGTTCTCCCTGAGGTCACGAGAGGAGAAATGCATAATTGAGGTTGGAACAGGGAGCCCCTGTCTTTAGTTCCAGAGTAATTCCAGCAAACTATGGCTGCTGGATAAGCCTTAAAATAATTGTTAATGTCACCAAGCTATAAATTCCTTTCTTCAAATGCAAAATCTTCCTCCTATGTGGGGAAGTCTTTCACAGACCATGTGGGATCAAAATACACCTCTGTACCTGCACTAAACATCTACAAGTAGAAAGCTTCTTGATGCAGTCACTGAACTGGCTGCAGAAACACTCAGGCCTGGAGAAGTTCACTCCCTCCCAAGCTCACTCACTGTGCTAACCCACTCTCCCCTCCATCAAGCATCAGGGTTCTCCCAGACCCTGTTCTGAGAGGATAGAACCCTAGAAAAGACCAAATACCCACTGCTTGATTTCCATGACCAGAGAGTCCCTTGAGGCCCCAACATAGGGCTGAACTACAGTTTGCAAAGCTGTGTATGATAACAGCCATTATAGTAACCTAGAATTTTTATCTGCTGTTCTTCTTAAGAACAATTGAAAACACCTTCACAGTAATGATATCATCAGGTTTGCCCTCTCATCGACTCCAAAAAGAAGAAAGGGGGCAAACCCCTTCCCTTTACATTAAAAGGAAACATGAGGCCTGGAGAGCTCAAGGACTTGTCTATGGTCTCACCTCCGGTCAGGGCAAAGGGCCGCAAGAGGGCTCCCATCTTCTCTGCCTGGACTGTATTTCCAAAATGCTGGAGCACAAACATTTGACTGCTTCTCTGCATTTTTCTTATTTGTGTCTTTTCTCTCTTAACCATAAGGGCATTTCTAGACTTGAGAACCCCTCCCAGTCTCCTCCAGCCCCCTGCAGCCCAGAGCAGATAGCCCCCGAGTCCTGCCGGACTTCTCACTGCCCTCCTGCCCCTATCTGGCTCCAAGCTCTATTGGGTGGAAGACACCACGTAGGCTGTGGCGATGTATTTCTTGCCATTTCCATAGGTGGACTTGTCCCAGGGATAGGTCTGGATGGCCAGGGGATATCCACCCAGGCTTAACTGGCACCTGTGGGGAAAGATGGCCAGGTCATAGGAGCCCACCACGTCTCTCCATGCCCGTCCCCTGACTGGGAAGATCAAGCCCAACCCATGCAGAAGGGCTCCGCCCTGACTTGAACAACCCCCAGGAGAACTGCCACAGCTTCCTTCAGACATTGTCTCCCACTCCCCACGCACAGGCAGCCCTTCAAAACTGTGCCTTAGTTTCCATCTTCTTAAAGAACCCTGCTCCTCATATTTCCCAGAACAGTGTTCTAAAATCTCAGAGTCTAGAGCTGAACCCCCAGAAATTAAATGTCTGCTTAGGGTTTCAGAAGTAGTAGGACCCAAAGTCCTCAGATGTTAGAAGAGATGAAGCCCAGCGGTTTCAAGCTATACTCTCTGGGGCTTCAGGGTTCCCCCTAGCAGCCTTGGGGACCAAATAGAGAGGCTTGGAGCACCAGGGCAACTCTGTTCCTAACTGTTTTACGTATGAAGGTTCTGCGTAAGATTTCACGTGGTGGTTCTGCTGCTAAGATAAAGTCTGGCAACCACCAGTCTTATCTAACAACCTCATTGCCCAAGTGAGAAAACTGAGATGCAGAAGGGTGATTTGTCCAAGCCACTGAGTTGCAGAATCCAGCTCTCCTGATTGTCCTGGCTGAGGACAGCCTGTGGCCCCAGCCTGCTCCCCAGGCCTGGCTGGCCCAGTACTTACACTTTGCCTGGCCTAGCAATGAAACACAGGGAGTAGAGCGCAAACTCAAATTCAGGGCTGCTCCCAATGAAAGCTGAGCCCACTTCCTTATAGTAGCCGTCCCAGTTGAACTGCATGGCTAACACGTCGGGGTAAGAATCCCACTGTGGAGAGTAGCAAAGGGGGCCTGGTGAATACCACGAGCGGAGTCTGACAGAGAAGGTGGCACATGGTGAGCAGTCAGCCAGGGTTTGCGGATGGCCCGTTAGGGGCCTGTGTGTTTTCTGGGGAGGCTGGATTCTTTACATCGACCAAGGAAACAGTCTGCCCTGCCAAGGTGTCTGAGCCCTCCTTGGACCGTCTGTCTGGAACTGCCAGTGTGCGTCTCCCAGAGAGGCCAGAGCCAGCATTCCTGTGACTGCCACCAGGGCCGTGGGGGCCATGACTGTTTCTTGTGGCCATCACATGTGGAGGAGAAGGACAATATATTCTCCCCAAGTTATTTCCTGGCACCAGGGCAGCAAAGGTTTCTTTTTTATAAAATGGAAGGAGTTGAACTCAGACTAGCCAGGCTGAAACTTCCAGCCAAAGCCACATTCTAAGGAAATTTGGGCAGGGGGTCATTACACACCTTTGAGATTTGTCTTCCCCTCTGAGGATCCTCCCCTGCCCCCAGCCTCCCATCCAGGGATAAGTGCTCTCTGCCTCCTGCCCTCTGCAGCTCTGGAGACTTCACTGTTTAGGAGGGAATCTCAGGGTCCTGGCTGCCTATCCAGCAGATCAGGAAGTCATCTTCACCATCCCCACTGGGCGGCCAATGAGAGTCAGGGTGAGAGACCAGTCTGGCTGCTGGGAGTGCAGAGTGAGGGCAGGAGGTCTGGGTACTAATAAGCTTCTCCAGCCCATGGGGTCAGCACTCAGTACTCACGGGGCCGTCATAGACGTGACTATAATAGTCAACCAGGCCCTCCTTCTCCTGCATATAGAAGCGGATCCAGTTATGGAAGCCGGTGACCTTGCCTTTTTTTATTTCACCTATAATGAAGAGTTCAAGGTGGGTGATCTGGGCCTCCCCTCCAACCCCTTTTGCCCCTCCCATGCCAAGGCTGTCCCCCTTCTTGAGACTTTGGCTTGTAGAATGCACACCTGCTTAGTCCTTTGCCCTGACTCCCCAGCATCCCACACATCCCTAACTCTCACCCAGGAAAGCCCTCCCCACCCCCTTTCAGCTCAAGCCTTTGGGAGAATTCCTCCTCCCGGTTGGCCCCGGGTGACCGATCTGGAATATTCCTCTCAGCCATTTCTCCAGTAGCAAGCCAAACTTGGTAGGAGCTTTATGGGGTGGGAGAGTGGGCAGGAAGACTATGGCCCTCTTGGAAAGCAGAGAACCATTCAGAAGTAGACAGCTCTGCCCCCAAACACACCTCCCTTCCTATGTGTGCCCTTTGGGAGCCCCAGTATCTGGTCTCCTTTCCCCTTTAAATACTCCAGAAGACACTGTTCCTCAAAAACAGCTCCTCGGACCCCTCTGCCTTGGCTTGGGAGTGGACACTGTCCGTCCCTGAGAGCTGGCTTGGCTGCCGATTCCCCGGCGCCTGATGCTGCCCTACTCCTGAGGGAAGCTGTCTCTCTTCATTCCTCCAAGTCTTGCTTTCCAAGCAGAATGATCCCACCTGAGAAGACGTGTTCAAAGCCACTTGAGTCCTCCTCTTCATTGCCTCTTGAATAGAGCCCAAACCACATGTTCTTCAAGTCGTTGACAAACTCTTGTTCCGAGCTGTATCGGTCTGCAGGGAGGAACACAGAGCACCTAGGAGAGGGGAAGGCGGAACCAGGTCCTTGGGAAGCAGCGAAGAGCCACCTGCTCCAGCACATCAAGAAACACAGTGGTTCAACCAGCAAACGTATTCAGTTGTCCATAGCAAGGACAAGATCCCTGCTTTCACAGTTTCCGTTCCAGTGGAAAAGACAAATAATAAACAATATGATGGCAGGTAAGTGCTATGAAGAAAATAAAGCGGAGTATCCCATGATGACTGGAGGTCGGGTTGCGATGGGGTTGGGCTCTTCTAGAAAGGAAGACTAGAAAGACCTCTCTGAGAAGGTACCACTAATCAGAGACCTGAAGGATAAGGAGTCAACCACACAAAATCCGGGGAAAGATTCTTCCATGTGGCGGGAACAGCAGGTGCAAGGCTCTAAGATGACCTGAGCTTTGTGTTTAAGGAGCTAAGGGAAAGTCAGTGTGGCTGGAGCACAGTGAGCGCAGGGGGCAGTGGTCGGACAGGAGGTCCAAGAGGTAGGCAGTGGCCAGGCCTCACAAGCCATGGCAAGAAAGTGGGGGGCCAGTCAAAAAGTAACAATACAAAAATATTTTAGATTTACTATGTTCTATGTGCCCCAACTGTTTTAAGTGCTTTCAGTCCTCACATTGAATCTTCACATAGGTCAAGACTAATTATCCCCAATTTAGAAATGAGGAAATTGAGGCTGACCAAGGTTATGTAACTCACACAAGATCTACACAGTTAATAGAAATGGCACTTGAGCCTGCGCGATCATTACACATGTTAACTGGTCTTTTAACGACTTTATAGCTTCTTAGAGGTGAGAGAGCCACCGAAGGGTTTGAAGCAGGGGAATTATGTGAGAGCTTTGTTCTTAAAGGCTCACTCTGGTTGTGTATATAAAAAGTGAGGGGGATGTAGGAGCAGCAGAGAGACCAGTTTCGAGGCTAACACTTTGTCCACGTCAGAAGCAGTGGTGGCAGCCATGGGGTGGGCGGGGGCGGGGTGAGAATCGGGCGGATCAGGGATAGATTTTGAAGGAGGATGTGACAGACATTACTGATGGAGGAGTGGAGGTGGGGAGCCGTGAGGTAGAGAAGAATTCAATATAACTCCTGGGGTTTGGGCCTGAGCAATGGGATGGACTATGGTGTCATCGATGGGATGGGGAAGACTGAGGAAGGAGGAAGGGGTGGGAATCATGAGTTGTCTTCACACTAAGTTATGAGTAGATGCCATGAGAGAGCCACGTGAGATGTTGGACAGGCAGCCGGGGCAGGTGCAGCGTCGGCCATGTGGGATGTGAGCTAGAACTTGAAGGACAGTCCGGATTTGGACAGGGAGAGAGGTGAGGACAGGAGAAGTAATGGAACAGCCCGGCCTCAGTATCGGATCCCTGGGTCCCAGACCCGGCTCCGCTCGGGAGTTCCCTGATCTCAGAGCAGCCAGCCAGCCTGGCGGGCTTCTCTCCGGAAAGCTGGAGGGCGGGCCGGACTCCCAAGACTCTCGCTTGTGTTTGCGGCAGAGGACCGCCAGGGGGCGGTGCGGGATCGCGCCCTCTTCACAGGAGCGGCCTCTCCTCCGCTTTACCCAAAAACCGCCGGTGACTCTCTCGTAAGGGAAGGCAGGCAGATGGAAGGCAGCCGCTCTGGGCAGAGGGGAGACCTGGACAAGAGCTGCCCAGGGGGCCCAGCCCAGCTGCTTGGAGTTCCGTGGAGGAATCTGCGGGACACGAAAGAAACACAAGCCCCTGCCGAGAACTCCTGCGGCTCAAACCTTGTTTGGTCTGATTCAGATGTATCCCTATCTGGAGCCACGCTAGCCAGAACCCCTCCCGGTAGAAACTCTGGGTGCTTTTCTGTTGCTGTTTCCCCAGCAAAAACGTGAAGTGAGCCACGCGTCCTTCCTGGACCTGGAGCAGGAGGGAGGAGAATCGGGGACCCTGGGCGCCCCTGGGCTCCGCTGAAGTGGGGCGGAGGGAGGGGGGTGACTCCGCGTCTCGCAGGGAGCCTGAGACTGGAGCAGTGAGTGCGGGGATGCAGGCGGCGGCTCAGAGCAAATCCGAGGAGAGGTGACTTCCAAGCCGGACCGAGGCTGCTTCCGCTGCTTAGGCCCGTGGTCTCTCCGGGGCTCCTCCGTGGCCCCCTCGGAAGTCCGCTGGCCACCGCACAGCCCCCCCCACCCCACCGTGGAGCCCCAGGGCTGCCAGGCCCTCCTGTCCTCAGCACTGCCCCTTGGGGCTTAGGGAGGCTCACTCACTCTGGTGACGGAGGAAGCCATAGAGCTCCTTCAGGACCGCCGTCTTCATGACCTCTCTGAGGAAGGCGTCCTGCTCGGCCAGCTGCTGCGCACTGAAGTGCTCCCCACGGCCCGTGGCCCGCTGGTAGTTGTTGAGAAGGCTGATGAAGGCCGCGTAGGTCGGCTTGGAGAACAGCTTCTCGTTGACATAGGTGAAGAGCCTGGGGGGGGGGGGGGGGAAGAGGCCTGAACATGGAGCAGAACCCCACCACCACCACCCCCGCAGGGGCGGCCAGACCCGCCGGGGCAGGCCTGCGAAGGTGGGGGTCCGGAGCAGAGTGGGGCCGTCAGCCCCTCCAGAAGGGTGTGCCTGAGGCGCCTCTTTTCTCCGGCTCCAGCGCTTGGAAGGTCGGTTCTCTTCGCAGCCCGGTCAACCACAGAAACCCTCCAAGCTGCACACCCACAGTCCCTCAAGATGGCTTTGTCTCTGGAGACCTACTTTCTTCTCTCCCTTTGATCCTGCCTGCCCTGAGGAGAAAAGGGCTGAGGCGTGGAAGGAAGCGAAGCCGGCCGGGGGTGGGAGCCGGCGCGGGGCACTGCGCAGGGAGAGTGAAGGGGACTCACGGCTCTGGGCAGCGGTCCACGTGGTCTCTGGTCTCCGAGGGCGAGATGCGGTTTTGGCTGTTGAGAATGATGTCTTCCTTCTTCGCTTTGTTGATGTCCGCCCTGTAGATCTTCTCAGAGACGCTCTGTAGCTCCTCCTTGGTTATGGCGTCCCTGCTGTAGGAGAAGCCCTCTGGGAGGGATGGGGGAGGGGGCTCTCAGCCCAAGGAAGGCGGGGGGGGGGGGGGGGGGGGGGGAGGGGAGCAGTCTGTGGGCCCCCGCCCCTGGGCACCTTCCAGAAGCCGACAGCCAGGGAAAGAGGCGGCAATCCATCACCCTAGTGGTTGGACGCCGGGGGCCTCGGGGCCTCAAGGCTACTTAAAATCAGCAAGTGGCCTCACCGCAGAATGTCCACACACACTCCTCTGCGAAGGTTCTCAAACTTGGGCGCCCACCATAATCACCTGGAGGGCTTGTGAAAACAGGTCAGGGGGCCCCGCCCCCAGAGTTCCTGATTCTGTGGGTCTGGGGGGAAGCCCTAGAGTCTCCCTTTCTAATACAGCCCCAGATGGTACTGATGCCGCAGGTCCAGGGAGCGCACCCGCAGAACTATTGCTCTGGAGAGTTCCTGGGTCCCTGGGGCTGCGCTAAAGGGAGCAGGAGACTGACCGTGGCCACACAGGATCTCGAAGTCCTTGCAGCAGTTCCCAAACTCTGGGCAGCGGGCATTGCAGTGACACGGCTGGTGCCTGTCGAAGGCCTCGTGGCAGCGGTCCCGACAGGAGCTGGGTGCCGAGTACAGGTCTGAGAGGACAGGGAGGGGTGTGTGTGTCCCGGGCAGACCCCTAGAGGTCGCTTCGGGCCTGCCGCCGGGTTCTCCCAACACCACCCCCACCCCAGCCCCCCAGCCTCGCCCTCCGCACTCCTAGCGAAGATCTCCAGGGAAGGAAAACAAACAGGCTGAACTGGTACACACCCTCCATGGTCAGGAAGCCCTTTCCGAGAGGCCAAACTCTACTTTCTGGACTGTTGTTTTTATAATCTTCCCACCCTAAAAATAAAATCTCTTCCACTTCCCTCCGTAGGCCTCAGACTCCCTTTCCTGCCTACACGCCAGGCTGCCAAGCCCAGCCCCTCATACCACCTCCGGGTGCTGGGTTTGGGGTCCGCCTGGCTCAGGCCTGTGCCTGCTGCCACTGGGATGGCTGCCTCCTCCTTGTCACCTCCCGTGTCCCTCCTCCTTTAGCCTGCAGGCCCCCCTTTAGAAGGGCAGACTCACTGCTCGCTGGGGCCTCCAACATCTCTTCCTCCAGCCCCAGGAATGGCTCTGGCTCTTCAGGGTCCTCTTGCACTGTAGGTCAGAGAAGTAGAGTCACCAGCCACCCACCCGCCCCCCACCCCAAGGGCTCCCTTCCCCTTATGTCTGATTCTCAGTTCCCCCAGCCTCTGGGACAAGCAGTGCAGTGGAAGAAAATACGAAACAGGGGCTAAGGCACAATGAACAAGGAGACAAACTGAAAATGGAAGACAGAAGGGGACAGATGGCTGAAACCTGTTACAAAAAGTGCAAAGAATTTCCCCAGGTGACAACTCTCCTTGCCACTTGAGCATTCTGGTACTCAGTGTGCTCATCTGTACAAAGAGGAGAGGAGGCAGGAAGGGGTGCCTTCTGGATTGAAAACCCTGATTTGGGTATGACTTTTCTTTAACGCACGTTGATAGATGGACGGGCTTGCCCTTCTCCAAATGACAAGGCTCTCACTTAGGAACATCCCTTACCTATAATAACTCCCAGTCACGGTCAAGGGTGAACTCCACCCAGGCCCTCTGGGACTAAGAACTGTTTCCTGAGATACCAACTTCCCTTCTTTCTTTACAACACTTGGCAATGGCCACAGAGATGGGGGGGGGCGTGTTCAGAAAAGCATGTTCATATTGCTGCCCCGTTCCCCTGGCCTGCAGACTGTGTGACTGGAGCCTGGGCTCGGGGCAGAGCAGTGTGGGTGGAGTGGGGGTGGGGAGGAAGAGGAAGGATGCTCCTGGGGACACTGAGCTCCTCTCTCATACACAGTGGGGTAATTTCCCTCCAAAGAAGCAAAATTATTACAAAGTGATTCAGAATCCATTAGTGAGTTTGCTGGATAGTGTTGTCTTATTACCATCAGAACCACAGGGCAGGTGATTTGTTCAGCAACACACATCTGATCACTTATTTGGTGCCAGGCTGTGCTCTAAGGGCTGACAATCCACAAGGTCCTTAACTCCGCCAATGTTATGCTAAAGAGACTTTCAAGAGCTGATTTAGAGTCTCAAGCATCATCCATATTTTTTTTTTCTGTGGGAACAGGATTCTGAGTTGCAAATCAGAGACTGGGAGATGGACTGGCTCCTAAGCTAAGTATCTTCTGTGCTGTGAATGCCAGCCCGATGGTCCAAGGTAAACAGGTTCTCCTGTGTCTGCTGAATAGGGCACAAGGCAAGAGAAAGGGGCAGGCTCTGATACTGGCCCTGAGCTCTGGACCTGGGTCTCCCTCCCTGGGCTTGATCAGCAGAACTTCTGCTGGTATAGATGGTGTTTTCGTGTAAATTGAATGAGGGTTCCTTCTGGATGGAAGCAACCCAGTGGGCACATGGCTGGGTCAGCATATACCACCTTTGGGAAAACTGGGAAAAGGTACTACTTTCTCTCAGCGGACACAACTCTTCACCAAGGCACATGGATTAGCAAGAAGGATATGGACTCTATTTTGGTCAACTTGCCTTCTCAGCCAGGTGCCCTTGTGCAGTGCACAACCTGCACAACTGTATGCCAGGGTCTTGCTAGCCATTCCCTACCATGTCTTTAGTGATCATGTTTTCCAAACTGAGAGTCGCGGCACCTGGTTTGACAGTGAACTTAACAAGGCTTCATGTCACAAAGCAGAAGACCATTTTATCTGGCGGTCTAAAACCCTGGAAGCATCCAAACAAGGAGATTATTCAAAATAATTTTTTCAAGTGATTCCTTTAAAACTATGTTGTTAGAGTAGCAGAGAAGTGATTGGCTTCTGAGAGCAGTGCGTGTCCCATTTAGTCACCGGACAGGGAATGATAGATTGAAAATGCTGCAGCCGCTCGGTCCACTCATTATCGGAAGAGTGGTGTGAATCACAACAGTCACTGTGATGCCGTGCAGGCTTCCTGGTGGCACGCAAGTTGGAAAGTTCTACTCCCTTTTTACACTTTTGCGATGTAAAGTGTTGAATTACAACTGGTAATGGGATTCATGTTATACTCATGTTTGTTACCATTCTGCTGCTTTTGAAATTACTTAAACTTTCAAAATATTGTTAATCCTGATAGTTCAGATAGATATTCCGGGTAAATAACCTATTTTCTTTGAAGTTGGGGTTTTATACTGGGGACATCCTAGAATACCTGGGACAAGTAGTGGCCAAATCCCTGACCTTTGCGCTGCCCTTCAGTGTCCTCATTCGGGCCCCTGGAGTCTTGTCATCCATCTCAAACCCAGCTCTGAACTGCTAGACACCCGAGCCAGCGTCCCTTCAGGCAGTCTGGGCGTGGACATGGCCTGGCCTGCCTCCCAGACCCTTCACCCCACAAGGAGCCTCACCAGTACACAGGTGCTCATAGTCTTCACAGCAGTCCCCATGCCGGGGACACTGGCGGTCACACTGGCAGGCAGCATCCCGGTTAAATTTCTCATTACAGCGAGATGCACAGGACTCCAATTTTCCTACAGGCAACAAAGGTCACAAACTCAGCTCTGTGAGGATCCTATTCTCCTCATCAAGGTGCACCCTGCAGTAGGGTTTGCAGACAGGGCCGCGGGCCCCACCTCGCAGGGAAGATCATTGCTATCTGCAAGGGAGAAATACATGCGCAACCGCTCACGCACCAGCAGAAGCCTCATCCCCACCACCACCCACCACCCACCCTACATTGCAGGGCTCATTATATAGATGAGGATCACAGACTCGAATGCCGAGTGAGGCTAGACCTCTAACAGAAGCCGGGAAAGAAGCAAGGAGGCAGTAGGAATTGGTGGGGACCGTGACAAACTTGGAAGTGATGCTCGGCCTGAAATTGGCAGCCACTCTCAGCTCTAGCCACTTCTGCCATGTTGGGGTGCAGGCTCAGTGTTGCCAGAGCCTCTAGTTTTTCAAGAGAAGCCTTTATTTTTATGTGAAGTTCTCCAATTTTTAAAAAATTCAGGCAGACCAACGAAAGAGATCTGTAGGCTGGTCGTGACCCACAGGCCACCAATCACCTGTCACGTAGATCAAGGTGAGTCACTGCTGCCCCAGTGATCCCACCTGCCCTCTCCCCTCTGACACCCCCTTCCTCTCATCCTGTCTCTTTTATGTCTTCTGCTGCTTTGTTCTTTGCTCCCCTCCACCTGGTCTCCCCTGCATCCTGTTTCCCCCAGGTCCCATCTTTCTGTTTCTTCTAGTCTTCGGAATGCGTTTGAATTAGTTTATGTTCGGGTGGGGCAAGAGGCGAGTATGGGTGAAAATTGGATTCTGGAATAGAATCCATTCTGTAACCACAGACCACATCCCTTCCTCCAGCCACATGGCTTGCAGAAACAAATTTTTGGTCACAAGGGGCATAGACAAAAAATTTTGAAAGAAATGGTACAAACCCACTACGACTCCTAAAAACACAACCCCCACCATGCCCACCCCAGCACAGAGAGTGTCAGGAGATATCTTTGGTGACAGTTGGCTTCGGGGGCCCTTTCCTTCCACTTTGAGCTTTAAGGGTAATTACAGAGTCTTTGTTTCCACTTGAGGTTCCTGAGGTTTGGATTTCCCGAATGCTGGGTTAAGGGGCCAGGCTGTGGGCGACGGAGAAGGTCAAGGATCAGAGACAGTGTTGCCATTAGCATCGAATTTGTATGAACGCAGAAACTGAAACCTAATTTGGGCCAGAGTTAGGGTTAGTTAGGTTTAGATTAAGAGCTATGGTTGGCAGGGGCGCCTGGGTGGCTCAGTCGTTAAGCGTCTGCTTCGGCTCAGGTCATGATCCCAGGGTCCTGGGATCCAGCCCCACATCGGGCTCCCTGCTCCGTGGGAAGCCTGCTTCTCCCTCTCCCTCTCCCCAGCCCCTGCTCGTGCTCTCTCTCACTCTCCCTCTCTCTCTCAAATAAAAAAAAAAAAACTTTAAAAAAAAAAAAAGAGCTATGGTTGGGTTTTGGACTTGAGTTAAATTTATTGGTAAAGTAACAATTTTGTATTGCTGTTTGGCTGAGGAATGAGGGGATAGGTTTAACACCACTTCAAGGTTGAAGAGTGTGTCAGGATTAGGAGAAGAGAAATTATCCCACTTTTGCCTTCGATTAGACTTGGAGTTTGGTTCTGGTGGTGATTCCACACAGGAAGGTTTATATGGTGTTCATGCAGGTGGCACAGCAAAGAGCTTGAGAACCTGGACTCTGGGGCCAAAACTGCATAGGGCTGGAATTCTGGTTCTGCTGCTTTCAAGCTCTAAGGTCTTGGGCAAGTTATTTGACCTTCTGTGCCTCGGTTTCCTTATCTGTGAAAGTGGCATGACAATGGAGTCCATCTCATAGAATAGTCATAAGAATTAAATGAGTTAATATTTGTAAAGCACTTAGGACAGCGCGTGATACATAGTAGCAACATGTGCTGCTTAGATAAATAAACAGTGATAACACTCCATGCCCACCTCCAATGTGGCAAGCGCTCAGACTGGTTGGAGCAGTCTTCCCCGTGGACAGACTCCATCTAGCTGACTCCCTCCCTGGGTTTCAGCTGGGCCATCCCTCGGACTGGGGTGTCAGGACATTTATGTTGCTGGCTGTTTCCCAGCTGACGTCATTGCTGCGAGCCTGTATTCTTTACATTAAAGAGGTGTCAGGTCAGGGTTAACCAGGTCCTGAGGCAGCCTCAAGTTGTGTCCAGGGCCTCCCACACAGCCAGGGAGGCAGGCCTTTCATCCAGTGGATTGTCCTTAAAAAACAACCAGACCCAAGGCCACTTGTCCTTTGAGGGAACTCCTCCTGAATCTTAAATGATGCTCCCTTGGAACCTGAATGCAAAGACCTTAAGGAGAAATTTTTAGGCCATGAAGAAGGCTCGGTCAGCTGCCTGCCAGGTCAGCCTGGCAGAACACCCAGAATCCAAAGGGAGAAAATTCAGACAATTCAAGGCAATGTTCACAATGGGCCAGATCAGCAGAGTCCCAGGAAAGAACTCACTTCATTCCAGTAGCTGGCACCGGTTGAGAAGGGCTCTGAGTGAATAGTCAGCTCTCTGGAGCTCGGGACAGCAGCCCCCATGGCCCTGGCTGAGTGGACTTTTTCATCTCTGTTCAAGAACTTTGTCCCCAGTAAGAACCCCCGTCCAGGGGTTCCCTGTAAAGTTGGTCTGCTTCAAGACGACCTTGGGATTTGAGGGTGGAGGGGAGAGGTAGGAGGGACTTTTTCCTCATAGGCGCCTCGCTGTGCTGTCCTCGGGACACTCAGTGGACAAGTCACCCCGACTCCCCACTCTGGTGTCCCCACCCTGTGCCTGCGAGCCACACAGGGCTCGGTGTGAGCCTTGCTCACGGGCCAGGTGCTGAGTCACTGCTTCAGCAACCATCTGCCCCTTGGCCTCTGCCTCATCTCTCTGGGCCTCAGCCTTCTTCATTTTGGCCTTGCCTGTCTCAGACTCAGGGTTTCCCTCCATTCCCCTTGAAAAGCTTAGGGCCTCCCCTGTCTCATGAGATGCTGAATTTCTCTGCACTCTCCAAGACTTCAATATGCCAGAAGGCCCACTCCTTATCCATGCTGCCCACTGGGTATCCCTATTACACCAGCACTCAGCCACTCTGAGGGTCGGGGCATCATCCTACATCTGTGCCTGCCCAGGAGCCCCAGATGCTGTTTCCCTGGCGACCTAGTCAACCAAGAAGATTCATTTCCAGGACCAGCTTCCTGCCCCGGTTCACCCAAAACAACCAGGGTCCTAAGACTGGCCGTGACTCCTCCATATGATCCATAGTCTTGCATGTAAGTTCTGAGAAGTTGGAACTAGGATGGACAAGAGCCGAGCCTCCTCCCACCCACCTTAGGAAAGAAGGAGGCATTGCCCACTGGACCCACAACTCCCCATCCATCCCACAGCCAGGCTAGATCACCCCCCCACAGGCGCAAGGGCTTCACATGCACTTCTGAAGGTACTGTTACCTCTGTCCTCGGGCATGGCTGCCCAGAGACCCAGTGTCTCAAGTCGCTCTCCTCTCCTGAGAGTGGGATGTGCCAACCCAGCGGCCGCTGGCTCACACTAAGCTAGAAGTTCTCATGCCCTCCCCAATGGCTGTCCACGCCCCAGGGCCCCGGCAGAGCTGACTCCCAGCTGCTCGGCAGCAGGTGCCAGAATAGAGGTCCCCGGTCCCTCCCAGAGCAGGGGGGCCTGGGAGCTGCCTTTTCCTCCAAAGGACTTCCATTTGGGAATCCCATTACGGCTGGAAATGAGGAAGTTTCTCCCAGGAATATGTATAAACATACTCGTAACCCAAACCCCAGCTCATTGAGATCTCACACCATGTAAGGTGCTTTTTATACATTATCTTAATTCGTCCTTACAACAGTCCTATTTGGGAACAACCTGGGTTGGGTGGGGTGGGTATCAAGCTCTGATTCTTTCTCCTCTGGGCAGAGGAGGATTCTCCCCACACCCCTCAGCTCAGCCCCCTCCCTTAGCACTCCTTCCTCCACACCCAATAACCAACTACCAATGAACACCTCAGCATCAGCATTTTGCACGGCTACTGCTGTCCTTCTGCAGGCCCCATCCCCTGCACCCCTAAGTAACTGTAGGCCCGGACCCTTCTCTGTGCTCTAGTTCCTCGAACACTGGGTCGAAGGCCCGTTCCTCTGACCACTGTAGAGTTTAGAGCGTACACGGCCTACCTCTCGGCCAGGGGCTTTTCCGGTTTCCCCCTGAGCCTGCCCATCTCCTGAGGCTTTTACCCAGAGCAAGGTCCCACCCCAGACAACCTCATCCACCAGCCAGGTCACTCAAACCCAGCAGGACACAGCCCCGGCTTTGCATCATACAACAGTCCCGCCGACAAACCTTGGTGAGATCAAAAGTCAGGTTGGACTAAGGGATGTCTGGGTCTGGTCTGCCAAGGACTCTGGAAGGGACTTCCATGACATTAGTCCATCAGCCCTGCAGCCCCCTTCACACCGTCCCCTCCACCCCAGAGACAACTCCTATACTCTGACAGGGATAGGTCTAAGGTGCTCCTTGGCTTTAGGACAGAGCTGACCCTCCCTTGTCCCACTCGGCTCACCCTCTACCAAGTTCCCCAACTCTCTGCTTCTTTACGTAGGACCCTTTCACCCCCACCAGATGATGACTTACCAGCCCAGGCCAGGCTGCAGAGTATGGCCACTATCAGGGGCACACAGGGCCTCATGGTGCCCAGTTGGAAGCCAAAAGGGGATTGGCTGTTGGACTTTCACTAGAGTCAAGGTGAATGTCACAGCTCTCAAATGAGCCTTATTGCCCAGGCTGATCCTTTTAAAGACATCAAAACTTGTGGATCTGGTACCTCCAGATCCTTGCAGGAGGAAAAAGGGGAGGGACCCTAGATGGATAGGATGTATGTGGAGAGGGGGTGGGGCCCTACAGCTGTTTGAAGCCAGAGGGAAGGTGACTAAGCAGGCAGGTCATTCCAGATGTTTAGAACAGGTAATATTAGCTGTAGCCAGAAAATAGGTCATGTAGGCAGGTACAGCAAAATAGGCCTGGTTTGGGGGGCTTCTCTGTCCCAAGTGGGGAGCACCAATGGGCTTGTCTCTGGGTGATGTCCTCCAAACACCCACCTACCAGCAAACCACTGCTCTGACCTTCCAAAGAGCTACAGGCTGGCTTCATCTTTGAGTTCCCGGTGCTAATATGAGGGACATAGTAAAGTGATCATTCCAGATTTGACCATCAGTGAAGTGCTCAAGCAAGCGTTAGGGTCAGCGCAAGGAGAGATATAGGACGTGTGGGTCAGAAACAAGGGCTGCTCTTATTAGCATCAAACCACACACAGCTAAAGCACCCCAGAAATAGTATGCAAATAGTCTCTAACTTACTGAGTCAGCGTCTCAGCTTTTCATGGTTCAGGTTCTCACAGGTTCCAGCTTTACGAGGCCAGCGGTGGGCGAGAGGCCTTAGAGACAGCCAGAGGACATACCCTTGCTCTTCTGGGGGCCCAGAAGCCCGCTCCCTTCATCCCCTGCTTACACTTGTCTTCCCGAGGACCCTCCCCAGGGAGGTGAGGCTTCTTGGCACTCCTTCCTCCCCAGGTCCGAGAGCAGAAGTGCAGCAACGTGGGGCTGCCAAATTCCCCCTATTAAAGGTAAAATCTGCTAAGTAAATTGCCCTTTCCAGAAAGAGCGCTGCATGGAGATTCTGCCCTCTCAAAAGAAAACTTTCATATAAAAAGGCAAAACGGATGAACCGTTGAGATTACTCTGTAGTGACTTTTTTCCCAGGGTGAAGTAGGGGGGCCTGTCCTCCTCAGCCGGTGTGCTTGAAATGTGGGATCCTTCCTCTCTCTGACCTCAGTTTCCCCATCTCCAAAATGACGGGCTTGAACCTGACAATCCCTGCCAAGGTCATTCCAGGGCTTCCTGCCAAGCCCGGGGTGAGCCGCCACCGTGGGTTGGGAAGAATGCCCCTGCCTCGCTGTGCGGAGATGAGACCCCACGTGGGGCTCCGGAGTGCACAGAACAGCCTGGAGCAAGCCCCCTTGCAAGAGACTCACAGCAGAAGCACAGCCACAGCGTCGGCCTGGCCCTTTCGCAGAGGAGGGAGGCTGGTTGAAGGAGTAGGAGCAGAAAGGCTGCTTGGCCTGCTCCAGCGGCCAAGTCCAAGCGGAGAGTGGGCTGCAACCACAGCCAGCGGGAGCCCACAGCCTCTGGAGGGCTGGTGGCCCACGCCCGGATCTCGGACTCCGGTTAGCTTAGGGGCTAAAGGAGACAGTCACTGGCTGGGCCAGGAGAACAACACCTCAGAATTTGGGGTGGACGGTGCCTTCCAAGAGCCCTGCTGGGGGACCCTACCGAGGCCAAAGGTGTGGAGTCCGTCCGGCCCGGTTGACCCTACTGTCCGGCTGAGCAGCCTGTGGGGTGGAGCTTCTGGGCAGGAGCGCCTCCCTCCATCAGGGGAATTTTAGGTCAGGAGCAAGGCTGGGAGCTGGGGGAGGGTTGACACTTACCCCATAGAGCCAGAGGGCACATCTGAGGATCCGACTGGGTCCTCCAACAAGAACCAACCAACAAGAACCACAAAGCCAACTTTAAGGACAACCACCAACACTGACTGAGCATGTGCTGGGGTGTCACACACGAAGAACCTCCTATGCATTCTCTCCTTCACTCTCACTACAACCCTTAACAGTACTATTGTTATCCTCATTCACAGAGGAGGAAACTGAGGCACAGGAAGGTTGGCAGGCACACCCAGGGGCACATCAGTAAGTTATGCGGCAGGACTTCCAACCAGATGCTGTCCTGACGGGCACTGATGCCACGTTGTCCCACAGAATGCATCAACAACCACTTAATCACATCTGGGTTACCAGGCAAAGTGGTCTGCGCTCAGATTCTGTGGAATTAAAGGGACCTCAGCAGTCACCTGGCTCCACTTCTCATACGAAATTGCAAGCCCGGCACGATCCTAGGAGGCTGTCCTGCCACCACTTGAATGCCTCCATGCCTCTCAGAGCTGCTCATCCCTGCTTCCCAGATCTGATTCCCAAAGCCCAGGACTGCATAACCCAAGACATGCTGACATGGAGGAAAGTAGATAGGACAGTAGGAAACAATCCAGAGAGCCAAGGTATGAACACACCTCTGTACACTCCTGCAAAGCTGCTTCATAGATGAATTAGATGCATGTAGGCGTTTATAGAGATAAATGCATGAAAGGGCATTTCAGACAGCGGCTGGCCTGGTCTGGACAGAAAACTCTGCTGCTCCTCTTTCCAAGTTTTCCCCCAGTTAGGTTTTCACATGGACTTTCCACCCTTGATTAAAAGCTCTTCCCAGGGAGCCAGCCAGCAAGGTGGGAGTCCCGGGAGGCTGAGTCCTGGAGACTTGGGGCTGGGAGGGGGTGGTGACAGGTGCGTGGCGGATGGCATTCCCATGACGAGAACACCAAACAGAGATGCCTCCTCTGATCAGGAAGTGAGAACAGAGTGCAGCTGTGGAGGGTGAGGGCACGTGGGCAAGGATGCTGGAGGCAATCAGGCCACGAGCAGCGTGGAGAATGGGAATTCTATGAGCAAATATTTACTAGTAAGCCTGGTGCTCTGCTGTTACTAGACTGGCAGGATTCAGGCTGGGCTGGAAAACGGTTCTTAGAACCTATTGGTTTCTTGTGGAACAGAGGACAGAGAAGCCTCAGCATTAGACGGCTATTTGAAGTAGATCCCACATATCTCTGAGCTACCAGGGTGGTGAGGGGTCTGTCAGGACCCACAGGCTCTGGGAGAGACTGGCCCAGGGGACATATGCCAAGGCCAGCCTACCCACCAGCCTATCCTCTGAAACCAAGGCTGAGTCACTTCAGCACCAGACCAGAACAGGACAGGCTCAGCACAGGAGAGGCCTAGAGTCCCCTCCTAAGGGGACCCCTGGCACCTGAAGATGCTAGACCTCCAGGCTCCGTCCCACCGTGGCCCG